CTACGGGGGTAAAACAGAATTTAAAACCTCTGCCCCGAGGCAAACGAATCAGAGGGGGGGGTGAAAGTTGCACCTTTTCGTTGTGCGGGTCTGAAGGGATGGCATGACTTAGCTCCCCTTTTGTATGTTTAAATACGGTATGTTGTCGGCTATTCCATTTTTCGTACCACTTTTGTACAGAGCTATTGTACGGTCGCTAACCCTTCGGGTAAAACAGAATTTAAAACCTCTGCCCCGAGGCAAACGAATCAGAGGGGGGGGTGAAAGTTGCACCTTTTCGTTGTGCGGGTCTGAAGGGATGGCATGACTTAGCTCCCCTTTTGTATGTTTAAATACGGTATGTTGTCGGCTATTCCATTTTTCGTACCACTTTTGTACAGAGCTATTGTACGGTCGCTAACCCTTCTGTACACTCAGGAAAACTGGAGTATGATGTGCTCTGACTTGCCCAGGGTCAGTGGTAGAATAGGGAACAGAAGCTCCCTGTCCTGTCTCTCCGGTCATGAGCTAATGGATTATGCTGTGTCCACGAGTTGCTTATGGTTACCTTTCGGATGAGTATAGGATTGTAGGCATGCATGCTACTTTTCAGTAGCTATTTTGAAGGGATGAGAAAACGGAAAAGTGAGAAACAACTCCCCCGCCCTCCTCCCTTTTTTTTGCAAAAGGCCTAAAGTCATATAAGAACAAAGAACTAGAGGCTATATGGTGACTACAAAATAGTCTGGGAAAATGTACCCTGTAAGTGTAGAGGTGAAAACTTGCCGCATATCCATGTGGTGAGCACTATCTGTCCAGCCAAGTGATTGTCAAATGAAGTCAGACTTCTGACATCTCCTGCCATGCCAGGCAGCCTGAGCCCAAACTGGGATCATGGTATGTGTTGTGCTTTGATTAAGACGCATAATCAACTTGCCACTTATCAGAGGACTTCTCAGATGTCCGACCTCTCTAACAGTATTTTTCTTTGAAAACCATTGTGATTTTGATGGAAAGTGCTCACTGTTTAGCTTGCCAGATGTTGCCTTCTGTTAAGGTGCTTTCTGGGATAGAAGATAATGGCTCAGAATTACAATGAGCCACTTTTCCTGTGGGTAAAACCCCTGCACATCATGCTGTTCAAGGAACATAGGTTTTCTTGATTGGAATCTCAGCTATAGTTAATAAAAACCAAGAATGTCCTTGTTTGGCTTACATTGTGGTGCCTTAAAATACCCATCCCAGACACATACTCAATAAAAATGCCATGTGACTGCATGCTGTTCCTTTGAGCCTTGTTCTCAACAACCTGCCTCTGAGCCAATTCCAGTGTGGAAGATGACATAAAACGATATCAAAGCTGCTGCCATCCGCTTGTTTGGCTGCCAGCCTGGAGTCTGTTCCTTGTCTGACTTTTTGTATGCTCGGCTGCAAATTTGTAGTTTGTCTGTGGAAGTTGTCAGTATTTCCAATGAGCTCATGTGGAGTCTTACTCTTCAGTTAAAATGAGACTGTTTACTTGGCTAAGTTACAGACACCTCCCTCTTGTATGACAAATGAGCTAACTTGAGCAAGGAAGCATTCTGATGAATGGAAAAAGGCAAACCTGAGGGAAGAAAATTTAGAGACTTGAAATATCTTTCATGTAGCCTCTAATTACACCCCTACCCCCATGCTTTCTTTCCAGGAATTACTGTCGGAAGGGAAAGCTAGTTACCATATCCAATATGTACCTGGAGGAGATTTTAGAATATCTCGCATGGCAGAATATGCCCCTGAGCAGGGGATATAACAGTTTCTAATCTCAGTACAGTATAAAGTGTCAATCCGATAGCATGGGGCATTATTGACCGTTATGTCCTCCTCTATACAGGGCTACATGGTGGTCTTTAAAAGGTTGGACTAGCATCTTCTTAAGCTATTCTAGACTTGTGAAGTAGATTTAAAATGCTTCGTGCTTAACTAGAGATATTCCTTGTGAAAAATTAGACACTAAGCAAACTTTTGAGAATTCAGTCCTTGAGTTTGATTTTATTATTGATTTCTATTATTACAGGTATTAAAAGGCATAGTAACAATAGTTGGTCACACTTGAGTCTATGAAATTAAAATGTGCTAACATGTGAACTACTTTCCTTGGTGAAGATTGCAGAGCAACTCACTTCAAATTAAAAATCACACTTAAACCAGGCTTCCTGGTGACGTATATGATAAATCTAATAATTTTGGTGAAAGTAGGTCACGCAGCAGAGTGCACAAATATTGGTTTGGTAGAGCAGTTTGTAGCCGGGGCGGGGTGGGAGGAGGAGAGAATCTGGGCTTAATTCAAGAGGAAAGACTGAAGAGGCCCTTGCTGGACAAGGTTCTGGGTAAGACTTCCTTACTAAGAGTTCCTCTGCTGTTACTCATACAACGTTTTAAAATCCCTCCCTCCCTTCATTTCCATTGTGGTTGTAGAGATTAAACTTCTTTAGATGCCTAAGTGGCTAGTCATTTAGGGATATGATTGGAGATGCTTATTTCTGTTGTGGCTTGCTAACAAGGACAAAAGATGCTTCTCAGTTACTGCTGAAGGGCAGGGCATCCTAATAATTGATTCAGTTTTAAAGTTTAACACAGACAGTTTTGTTGCCCAAGTTAAGTTTGCTTGTCTCTTTGGGATAGACAGCAAATGTTCCCATTCATCAGTAGGTTTCAGATCCAGAGTTCCCTGCTCATTGCCTAAGCAAATATAAAAACCGCACTTGTGTTGTGGCCTTCATTTGTAAACTCTCTTATGTTCTCCCTTTATCTGGAAGCTGTACATTGCACACTGAACCAAATCTGTTGTACTGTGCTCAGAGAGAGTTACAGGTAACAAAGTTAACATTTACTCTACTCTGTCTGGAGTTGGGGAAGGAATGTGACTCCTGCACTTTTTCCTTCCATCTTTTTCAGCAAAGAGTTGAAATCCATAAACTCCGGCAAGGTGAAAATCTGATTCTTGGATTCAGTATTGGAGGTGGAATTGATCAGGACCCTGCTCAGAATCCTTTCTCTGAAGATAAAACTGACAAGGTCAGCAGTGCCCTCAGCTAGGGATGTTAAATATGAATTCTTATTGGTTACTCGACAATTCTACAGTCCCTGGGGGTGGAACTGGCAGCCAGTGCACTCCAGTCCCACTCCCACTGCAGTGCTGCCTCTAGGGTGCTGGTCTGTGAGGGACCCTGTTTGAAAACCAGCTCCCCTTGTGAACTGGGCTGCCTGTTGCCCTGTGCTGCTGCCTCTGATACAGAGGCAGCAGCTGGAGTGTCAGCAGCCCCTGTTCAGGGTGGGTTTGAGGTCCCAGACCTGGTGTGAGCCAGAACTGAGCTGGGATGACTGCCCATCTGCCTTCTAATACACTTTAAATGCGGAGCTGCAGCAGGGGTAGGTCCGAACCTAGTGCAAGCCGGGACTGAGCCAAGCTGCTGGCCAGCCTGCTAACACATTTTCTGGTGGTGGTGGTGGTGGTGGTGGAAATGCGTGTAGTCTATAGCATCAACCTATAAGATTTTGCTTGTCAGTTACTCAGTTATTCAACTACACGATTACATCCCCACCCTCATCTCCCCTTAAATTCATAAAATCACAAGCAGGGCTGTAACCTCACTTTTTGTAGGCTTATGCCTGGTCCTCCCGCAGTCAGATTAGCCCATTTAATACCCCCTTCCCAGTTAGTACATGTAGCTAATATGCACTGCTGCTGCATTTGGGCTGTCATGTAATTCATCTGCTCTTTAGTATCAGACTGGTTTTTAAATGAAATCCATTCATAAGATGCTGCTAAATAAAGGTTATTGCCTTGTGTGCCTCTGTAACAGTTGCAACTAGAATAATCTAAAATGTGACTTCTACAGGGCATCTATGTAACAAGGGTGACAGAAGGAGGCCCAGCAGAAGTTGCAGGACTCCAGGTTGGAGACAAGATAATGCAGGTAAATTCAAAGACCAGAAGATGAACATTCTGGAATACCTGGAAGCAGACAATGCAGGACAGTCCCAGCCCAGAAGTGCCCCTAAGCAGCACTGCTTTCCAGGCCCCTTCATAGCTGGGGTGGAGGTCGGGGCATGGTGAATCCCAGCCATTTGCTCCATTCTGGACTATTTCACCTGCTGCTTGTCCCGCTGCGGTATATTCTACCCAAGGAAATGTATAAAAGCTCACTGCCTTCTCCTATGAATGGACGTGGGAATCTGTCTGGAAAAGCTTCCCTATCTCTAGACAAGAGGCTGTAACTGCCAACACGAGTGCCCCCTACAGGAGAACGGAGTGACTGTGCTTCAGGGTGAGCAGCATGGCACTGCAGATAAACTAGATGTAAGTCACAACTGAGCACATGGGCTTGAATAGTTGTTAACTCTTGTGAAAGTAGAGCCTGACAACCATTCTGCAATACCAGAACTGGAGGCAGATCACAAGGAAGCAGATTCATGTATGTTCTTTTCCTTCGACATGCCTTTGTGGGGCTGGGATTTAATAGTGGCCTACCATGATCCATTCTAGTTACTAAGGGTAATCCAGCAGGCATAAAATGTCATTGCTACTACGTTAGGCACATACACGGCAGCCCTCTCCAGGGTAGATGTAGATGCAACCCTCTTTGTGAGGGTTTTGGTTTTTTGATTTTTTTTTTATATCACAATGTTTAATTTTATGGGAATCCATAAAACTTTGTTATAAAACTTTGCAAACATCATAAAATCACAAAAAGGGCTGTAACTTCAAAATCCAAGTCTACTTTTACCATAATTGGCAGAGCTTTTAAATGCAATTAATGATATGAGTGTGGAAATATAACTTCTGGTGTGTGTGTTTGTGTTAGGCATTTTCTTGTACTTTTTTTTAACTTTCAGTTAAAGCAGGTATCTATAGACACGTGATAGTATGAGCTTGTTTGTACTGTGTAATACCTCACAATATGTTGCCCTCATTTGTAGAAGTTGTCTATTTTCGAAGTTATGTAAATGACTCCTATTCCTTATTTTTTAAACTTTTTTTTTTAATATCTGCTCAGCTGGAGATAAAGCTAAACAAGCACATGATATAACGATATCATCTTAAGGCCTCTCAATGTGATGGCAGTGTGTCTACTACTTATAACAATAAGGTTACAGTCGCTGGACTGTACAATGTCTTGTATTTCTTATGAATATGAACTCTAGATTTCATTGGTTTGAAGGAAACGATCTCTAGTATAATTTTACTGCTATTGGTGCCCTCCCTCCAATTGCATTGTGGTAGAAGTTAAACTTCTTTAGATGCCTAAGGGACAAGTCATTTAGGGTGTGTCTACACAGCAGCGTTATTTCTGAATAACTGATGTCATTCCAAAATAACAGTGTGCATCTATACTGCCAGCCTTTATTTTGAAATAACGTTGAGCTAGAGAACTTCTTAGTCTAACTACTGTAACTCTCATTTTACAAGGAGTAAGGGAAGTCAAAGGAAGAGTGTTCTTCCTTCGACTTCCTGCTGTGTAGACATCACCAAAAGCCGAATTAAGCTATTTCGACTTAAACTACACAATTGACATAGCTCAAGTTGTATAACTTAATTTGACTTTAGCCCTGCTGTATAGCTGAACCATAGGGCTATACTTATCTCTATTGTGGCTTGCTAGCAAGCACAAAAAATGCTCCTCAGTTACTGCTGAACGACAAAAATGATTCATCTTAAGAATATCTTTTAAAGAGAATAAATTAACAAGCAGCTTTGTTGCCCAGTTTAAGTTTGCTTGTCTCCTTGGGATAGATAGCAACTGCTCCTACATGCCAGTGGGTTTCAGATCCAGAGATCTGTGCTCGTTGTCTAAGTAAATATAAAAACCATGCTTGTGATGTGGCTTTCATTTGAAAACAATCTTACGTGCTCCCTTTATCTGGAAGCTGTATGTTGCACACAGAACCAAATCTATTGTGAGAGTACCTCTGAGTAGATACCTAATGCAATGCCCCTTTGAGCTATGTTTACTCTCAAAGTCACTGTTGAAACCGTTCTGCTGCCCCTCAGAATCTGTTCAATGCTCATTTGTTGTCACAACTGTGTGTCATAGATTTTCCCTGCAGCATTGACATCTCCTTGTTGCACAGATACTCTCACAGCTATACTGCACAAAGGGGAGGCTGGCTGCTGGGGCAGGTGCTTGCACCATCATGTTAGGATCAAGATGTTCCATGCTAGCTAGCACCCCTCTGGTGCTGATGGGACACTTGAAGATACTGTAGTATAATTCCCAGTTCAGGTTCTGCTTTATTCTTCTTACCAAACTCAGCCACATGATCTAGAGATGGGTTGTTTCATTCCCCAATACAATAAAAACCACCTGTAAGACATAGCTGTTGACTAAACTGGAAAATAAAGGCAGTTGGTTATATATCTTGAAACCTTGCTAGTAATACTGAGTAAGGGCTACTTGATTCAGCTATTCTGGGTTCTTTATTAGCTCAGGCCTCTCTGTGAAGTCAAAGAGATGGTCCTAATATGTAAAAACAAACAGGTAGAGACATAGCTTCTTGGTAGACTGGATACCAATTTTGTATAAAGGTCCACACTCCAGAGAAAATAAGTAAATAGAAGACTTCAAGATCTGTTCAGGTCTGTATTTGGAGTTTGCCATCTCCCTCTTGATTGCACTGTCCTAGACTATCAGATCATCTTTGATAAGTGAGTGTACCTCAGTGTTTCAGCTCTTTGCCCTCAAAACACTCATGTTGTCAGTAATGGGAGCAGGCTCGGAAATTCCCTGTAGAACAGTCTGGTAGGCCTACTCAGGGGCACAGGACAGCCAAGGACCAACTGGCCTCCCTTATAAGGCTTAGCTCTGTTAGGGTACTCAGCTGGGAGAGAGGTGAGCCTGGGTCACTTTCCTCCATTACCTGATGAGGTAGGATTTGAACAGCAAGCCACTATTGCTTGACTGTTCTGAGAGGAGAAGTAGCTTTCCATGACAGTTATCCCAGGGGTGACATAGGAATGGCCATACTGCGTCAGACCAAAGATCCAGCTAGCTCAATGTTCTGTCTTCTGACAGTAGCCACTGCCAGGTGCTTGAGGGAGACTGAAGAGAATGGGTAATCAAAAGATTCACCCCTTGTTACCCAATCCCAGCTTCTGCCAAACAGAAGCTAGGGGCACCATCCCTGCCTAATACCCAGGGCTCGACAAACAATGTAATCTACGTGCCCGTGGCGAGTACATTATACCCCCGAAGAGCTGGCGCAGAGCGATCTATGCATACGCAGAACCACGCGGCTGGCTAGTGGGGCTCGCTGCTGCTTGGTGAGCCCTGCTAATAATCACTGCTGGACCTGTGCTTTGTGCATTTATCTAGGGCTTTGTTGAACTGTTATAGGCAGGGCTCACCACACGGCGGCGAGTCCCGCTCGCCAGCTGCGTAGTTCTGTGAGCTGCGCATGCGCAGATCGCGCGGTGCTGGCTGTGCCGGCTTGTAATCTACTCACCATGGGCGAGTAGATTACGTGATCTGTTGAGCCCTGGTTATAGGATTGGCTTTCACAACATCCTCTGGCAAAGTTCTACGGGTTGACTATACATTGTGGCTGTCTACACATTGGCAAGATTTAGCGCAATCTTGCCACCTGTCTACACTGGCCGCGAGTATTTGCGCAAGAACACTGACGTTCTACTGTATGAAATCAGTGCTTCTTGTGCAAATACTCTGACGCTCCCGCTCAGGGATAAGGCCTCTTGCACAAGTGTTCTTGCGCAAGAGGCCAGTGTAGACAGGTAACATCAATTTCTTGCGCAGCAGAGCGTCTGCACTGGCACGGATGCTTTTGCGCAAATGCACATGCCAGTATAGATACTCTTTTACTCAAATACTCTAACACAAAAACTCTTTCATTTAGAGTATTTGCGCTAAATCTTGCCAGTCTAGACGTAGCCTGTGTGAAGAAGTGTCCTTTTGTTTTTAAACTTTATGCCTATTTAATTTCATTTGAGCCCCCCAGTTCTTATGTTAGAGCAGTGTTTCTCAACTTTTTTTTATAAAGTACCCCTTTAAAAAATAAGTACCCCCAGTACCTACGGTTTTTAGAGAGAATTTTTTTCTATCATTGCAATGCATTTGTTTAAACAGTTTAATCGTAGCCAGGCGGGCGATGACATTTTTGGGTGTAAAAAGTACAAAAATAATAATGCGCTGTAAAACTCAAAATAAAAATTCAGTTTTCTCCAAATTTCAGTTGTGTTGACCTAGCCTCTAGCCTTCTCTTGAGTACTCCTAAGGGTACTTGTACCACTGGCTGAGAAACATTGTTATAGAGTAAATAAGACTTCATTTACTTTCTCCACGTCATGATTTTCTAGACTTGTTATATCCCCCCCTTAGTCCGAGTTAAAAAAAATCCCAATCTTAATCTCTCATCATACATTTGATACTCTTATTATTTTTGTTGCCCTTTACTGAACCTTTTCCAGTATCTTTTGCAATGAGGTGACCACAGGTACATGCAATATTCAAGCTGGACATACCCTGAATTTATATATAGGCACTATATTTTCTTATCTCTTTCTTAATGATTCTCAACATTCTATTTACTTTTTTGCTTGAAAACATCCATTCAGTGTGCAGGAGCAGAGAGCTGTCTACAATGACTTCAGGATCCTTCTTGAATAAACCACCACTGGGCTATGAGGTGATGCTGATACTGGCTGGGGCCCAATTACTGTGTAACTTCTTAAAACGGACCAGCTCCAGGAAGAGCATCCTCCACCACAGCCCCCCTTAGTTTTGCAATGAGGGAATTCCCCTGAAACAGCAGAAATGAACGAACAGTTTTTTCCTTGGGTAACCTCAGCATCCATGTGACAGTGAAGTAAGCAGGTGCTATTCATCATGTGTACAGCAGCGATCTGTGTTTCCACTCACTTATTTGTGCCTTCTCCACATCTTTAAGTGCTTCGGTGGCATGTTCAGGCTTTGTGTAAGAGGAGTCTTCTCGCGTACTCACTTGCTCCAGGCAGCACCAAGGCACCTGCCAGTATGCCTGTAATACTAGCAGCTCTTGAATTGTCTGGTGCATCTCTGAAGCAAACTTAACATTCACCCAGTCCGGTGGTGCCAAGGCAGTGTGCGAGGTCCCAGATTGCTAGTCACCTTACCAAGGCTAGTTCCATTGACAATAATGGTTTCCTGATAAAACTTCTATTGTAGGTGAACGGGTGGGACATGACAATGGTAACCCATGACCAAGCGAGGAAGAGACTGACAAAGAGGAATGAAGAAGTGGTACGGCTCCTGGTGACCAGACACTCCCTCCAGAAGGCTGTGCAGCAGTCCATGATGTCCTAATTATGCAACTAGTAGGGGGAAGGACGACACTATAGGGTGACACTCCCTTGTTATAAGGAAGCAAATACTAAACTGGAGTTATTTGTAAACACTCGTACTGCCCAAGGTAAACATGCACTGCTTCAACCCTAAACTGAGAATAGTCAACTCTAGCCCTTTCAGCAGCAAGATGTACACTGCATAGAACAGCACCTAACCCTCTGTGCTCAAAGCTTTACCATGCCAGTGGCAGGAGAAGATAGCAATTACATGAAGAAAAGAGGCAAAAGACTAGATACTTGAGGGAAGAAATTGTGAAAAAAGTCAATTAGTGGGAGATGATTTTTTTATAGGGCAACAGTTCCCTATTGCTGAGCATTGAAAACTTAGCTCCTTCTGCAAAGGAGCAAATAATTACCACCAAGGGGAGAGGAGGCAGTGTTTTATTGGGATTAAAAAAGGTTAGTGACTAGTTCCTTGATCGTTCAAGTTCAGTATGGAAAATGCTCCACTACCCTTTGCATCACATGCTGGTAAGAGGTAAATAGTCTGTCGGGTTGAAGGCTAGTCTTTTGTTCTGAAGTGTTCACTACAAGATTTTAGACCCCTTCACCAAACAGCTTGTCATAAGAGGGACATTTGAATGAGCAGTTAATGCTTAAATGTAATAATGGAAACTGGGATTTAGTAACACATTTCAAGACACTACAATTGCAAAGTGCCTCTATACAAGAAACAGTGATGGCTGCTTCACAGAATACTAGGGAACAAACGCCAGCTTTAACATGCCATAACTATTGCAACTCTAGGGTATAAGCTTTAAAAATATACTGTAATTGGGAAAGGGATGGAAGGCTTTGTCTTTGGTGAACATACAGGAGACACGGTTCCACTTCCTCACTGCACATTTTGTAAAGTCTTTTCAAAGAGAAAGGGCAGCTGGTCTGTTTTGTAGGGGGAAGACATATTTAAATCTTGTATTAAGTAGAAATATGCACAATGAGCTTGCCAACATCTATTGTACCAAAATTCCTATTCCTGACCTGTGGTAGGCAAACTATAAGCAATCCTTCACCATGGCCAAACTAAGGGGTTTTAGGAATTTTTTCTGCAGAAGCTGCTCTTAAGTGGGTTTTAAACCCATCAGTGAACCACATTAACACTTTAAAGGCATTATATAGGCTAGCTTTAATTAGTTCAAGAAGATGAAATCTGAAAATTAAGTTTGTATAACTAGTTTTAGATGACACTATATAACCTCTTCAACTGTCTTCACACTAGTTTAAAAATAACTAGAGCAGTGGAGAGAAGTTGTATACTAGGTTATTACTGCAGTGCTATATAGGATCTGAGTTCAATGAATTTTATAAACTTGATAAATGCAGCTCAAAGTGTTCCACTCCATATCTCTACATGCCATTAGATGCCTCTCTTTATACAGGAAAAAACCTTAAACAACAAATAGTCACACAAAACATGTAGATGTAAAGTGGGTTGCACCATGAAAGCTCATGATATAATCTACATGTTGTGTTAGTATTTAAGGTGCTACTAGACTAGTTGTTTAAATTTTTCCTGTTACAGACTAACTCCGCTACCCATCAATCTTTTTATACAGTTTTTTACCTTATTCAGTAATATAAAAAATCCAAAAGGAATTTGACATTTAAATTACACATACTGTGGTGGAAAAATATCTTAATAGCTTTACAGATAGGCCTTATTTTTGTTTACTGTAGAGAAGTACACTGCTATTTGTACTGTGGTTTCTTGATTTTACACAATAAAAGAATTTAACAGTCTCACTATCTAGATTTCAGTTTAAAAGGACACAAGTTACATGATTTACACCCACCAGCTTCCTACCCCTCCAATTCTTTTGACTGAGTGCCACCTGACAACTTTTAAACAGTCATATTATGATAAAAAGGTAAGCTAAAACAGCCAACTGACAGCAAATTCTGCACCTATTTGCAACTTGGAGCACAGTCAATTTTCGTCTGAGTTTTACTACCAAACTTTTCAATGAAGAAGGACAAGTTGATTTCTCCCAGAAGGGTTTGCAGGATTAAGATGTCAGAACTTGAACAGTAGTGAATATAAAGCTTGTGTTTAAAGTCCTTTTTAGTACACTACTCCTTACTGTCGAAGATAACAAGGCATGGTGCCAACCTCTATAGGTTAAAGTGTAAGAATGTTCAACTATGTTTGGAAATTAACTGTCTTCCTTCCTTTTCTCTGCAAGTATTGGTGCAAGCAACTCAGAGCAGTGGAGCAAGAGACAATACTTAAGTTTTATTCCCAATTCACCATCCTGCTGCATTGCCTTATGCTAAGGTCTTGTTATGTAGAGGCTGAGTTCTTTACCTGGGAGGTGCTATGTGAGTATTGTACTTATCAGCTATGTCTTGCTTACTCAGGAAAAAGAAAAACACTTGAAGACTAACACAAGTTTTAATCATTAGGCTATTGAACAACATGATCGGACTTGCATAGAATACAAATTGTTCCCCTTGCATCAACAGCCCAGACCTAGGCACTTTAATAGAACCAAATACAAATAACTTGACAACTTAGTAATAAGTATTTAGAAATTTGGTCTCCAGCACTAGATTTAAAACCTTTGCTGAAAATGCTCAGTGGTATAAAGTAGCAGAAATCACATTACGTTTTTTTAACGTTTTAAGTGTAGCTGCTAGCACTCTGATAAGAACATGCTGTGATATTATTCTGATTAGTGCCCCCCTTCACCCATTGTACCTACATGTAATATTAAGAAGCTACTTGGTAGCCACAGCTACTTGAGTCACTGTCTTCCTTACAACTTGGTTTGGGAGAAGAAGATGAAGTCAGCAGCACATTAGAGTCTGCCTAGTCCACAAAAACTTGTTCCTTGGTCGTTATTAAAAAAAAAAGGCACCTGATTGGGTTTTTCACCTTCCAGTCATGTTCTGGCTCTTCTCTGGGGAAAAAAAAACCTTCGCACCTGAAGGAAGCCCAGCTCTTACATACCCTCCCCACAGAAGGCTGTGGCTATCTTTGACCAATCCATCTCAAGACAGGCTGGCTTGGAATTAGCTTCCGGTGTTGCAGATGTTTTCCAGTTGCAAGGGTTAGGATAATGGAATATCCGTTAAGGCATTTGGCATTAAGCAAAACTATTTGTGCTGGTGAGCAGTCTGAAATTCTCCCAGCCCATATAGAGGTAAATTTATGGCCAATAGATCTACATTATTGCATCCATCTGGGTAAGGCTTTAGGAGTCCAAAGATTCATATACCCGTGTTCTATATAGACAGTAATGCTGGATGATGAAGACTATGTCAAAGATGATGGAGAAAAAGCCCAGTCCAAACTTAGTTGGATCTCCAAAGATTAATTTCCATTCATCTGTCCAAAAAAGGAGAAGATTACTACTGCAGATTACTAAAATGGCTTATTTTTTAACAGCACAGGCATTATTCAGCTTTATAGTCTGATTTCACTACACATTGTTCAGTTAAAAAATCCCATGTCAAAGTAGTCTTTGCTGCTGTAGAATTACCTATAGCAACTGTGTAAATCTACTATATATTTGAAATAGCTAGATTGTCTATCTGTCCATCTGCTTGTTCAAGAACTAAGTGGTAAGAGCTAGTTCACTATACAGCTTCCTCTTAAAGCAAAGTGAGGGTTTGGTTGTGCCACAAAAAAATGGGATGTGCCTAGAATGAGAGAGCTTTTCATAAAACCCCACAGGGGACAGACCCTATCAGTAGGCAGGTGAATGTAGCTTGCTGGGGGGCAAATCCTCTTCCACCTCCTGTCTGGGAGTGCCCTAGCCTCCAAGCCTCCCAACCTCCAGGTGCCGGATTCATAGGGTGACACTGCTAGCTGTTCCCCCTCATCAGGGAGGGGGGAGAAGTGCACAGTTTGCTACATTCCTCACTCTGGCTAGGAATCATAGGGAGTAATGAACATGGAGTTGCCCCAGTAAAGGGATATGCATGCACTCCCTCCCCCGGCTGTGCCCGCTGTAATGGCCATGGAGAAGTGCTTCTCACCTGGTCCCAAAGCTGCTGCAGTGAGAAGGGGCTAAGATGGTCCTCTTTCTCCCCAGGGCAGCCTGCACACTGAACCCCTCATCCCCAGAGCATGAAGTATGTACACTTTCATTTTATTCTCCCCCCCCCCAAAAAAAAATTAAAATTAATTGTTTTAAGAACCTGCACACTACAAGGGAAATCTAGTAGCTTATTAGAAGACAGCCAAATATTTATCTTTTACCACATTTTTATAGCACTGATGGCTCACACGCCATTTTATAGCACTGATGGCTCACAGGCCACCTAGATTTGGAAACAACCCTTAGTGAGTGTGGACTGGAAGAAAGTGATTTGTGGGAGGCTTTTCTTCAGTGGAAAAAAATGCAGGCCACAAAAGGAACTTCAATTCCAGACTTACCATTGTTGTAAGACTGCAAAACCATCTGAAGGAGACTGAAGCTTCCACCAGTAAAATCTAGCAACACATTTCCAATACTCCACCCTTCAGTACTCTTCCGCCGAAAGTTCATGTATGCCTACAAGAGAGGCGCAGATGGGAGTCAGATCAAATATGCTTCATACTTTTAAGTTTTGCCTATGAAAACTATTTGATCTGCAGAAAAAGGAAATTGTATTCTACTCCAGCAATACAGAATTCTGAACTTATTTTGCCCTCAGATAAGCAGACTGACCTTTCGATGCCTCAGTCAACCCCAGCTGTAAAACAGAGCCTGGCTGGTTTAACAGACTAAAGTTTTCAGATATTGCAAAAGTACTTGCATGTTTAGTAAGCACAAAAGCTACTAGTTATGATCACAATTCTAGGATCATATGTACCACCTTTAACACACAAATACACCTTTCCAAATCGCCTCATATTAGTAGAATGGCACCTTGCTACACCAGAGTTAGGAGACATTAGTGCCCATTTTTACCTGTGGAAAATATTTTATCAGTGTCATTCCCAGTTTAATGTAAGAAAAGAAAAATAAGAACTGTAGCCATGTGATTGCTCCAGCTGAAGCCACAAACAATGTGGTAAATGTGAAGATCCATGCAATCACCAGCAGCCCAATAGCAACTCTGGACACTTTTTGATTAGCTCTCTGAAAGACAAGACATTTTATACTTTTAGAATTCATTATACCCAGATCTCTCCCACCCCTGTTGCCATAGGATGCACAACAACATGCAACCAGAGCCCCCCATGGAACCATCTAAATTGACCCCCCTCCTTCTCAAGTATCCTCACTCTGTTGTAGTATCATAAGAGCTTGCTCTAGGTTTGTGACAGTGCAATTTCAGAGTCCAATTACCATGGGAATGCTGTTCAGAATGTTAGCACCCAGGAGAAAGGAGCTACAATCTTTCTGTAATATTTTCATGGGAGATTTGTGGAATTGCATGCCTTAATTTAGGACTGAGTAAATCTGTGGGGATTTATGCTCTTCTTTGCATTTGAGAGATGCCCAATGACTAGAGCAAGAGAAACCTCCAAAATCACTCTTACTGCACATCCTGACCTTTCATGAAAGCACCCCATTCTGGCAGAAGGGGAAAAGAACAAAGACGCACACACGGGAAGAACAGACTTTCACAACTCAGTTATCCAGAAGAGGTCTGAATATTTTTGTCATTGAGCATGTTCACTCTCTGGCTCATATTTTGTAATTGAAAAAGGCAGTGAACTCAGCATTCTGCTGCTCCCCATGGCTCTGGAAGAGAAATACAAATTGAGCCTCCATCTTCCCTGGTATGGCAATAGTATTCTCTTATCTGAGAGGGACGTAGAGAATTTATGTAAGTGAAATACAAATGAAGAGCCCTATAATTGATAGCTATTCTATAATACCCAGCCTCAAAGTTTAAACATAAATCCACTGTAATGCCTTGATTTCAGAATATAAAAGTATCGGACAAACCTACCTGATATATACAGCACTGAAATATTATAAAGAACGTTACAGCTAGTGCATGGAGACTGAAAAACACATCATTGCTGTCCACAGGGTTCACTCCATTGGGGTACTGGCGTAGGAACTGCTCCTGAGTATTAAAAACCGAAGCAAGTTAGTTGCAGAACAGAGTTACATCAGCTAATGAAATATTTCACTGACAAAATCACAAGGGTGCTTACCTGGATGTAGGGAATCCAGAAAAGCCCCACATTGAATACACTGTATGCTATGAAGCCAGTGAGGTTTAGTGCTAGGAAATCAAAGCTTAATCCAACCACACTAAAAAAGAAAAAACAAAAAACACTTTACATGTAAAAATTGATTTACGGAGCTATCTGGCCAGTGACAGAGGGACTGACATTCTGACAATAAAATATTCTGATTTAAGGGCTTCCTACATTTACTGTCACAAGCAGAAATGTGACCATATTTCTTTATAAAGAAGTAATTTGTATGGGGTGAGGGTTGCCTCTTTTAAATAGATTAGTATGTGAGTGGTTTTTAAGATAGTTTACTTTCAAAAAATGCATGTTGTCCATCTCAACTCCCATATAACTGCAATGAAGGAGATTACAGCATTTTACATTATATCCAAAACCAGAATCATTTCAGTCATCAGAAGGAGTCCATCCCGGCTGCCCACTGCTCTGTTCTCACACTTCAGGAAAGAATTTTTAAAAACTTGTGGAGACATCATTTGTTTAACTCACTAAGACAAAGAACCTCAAGTCAGAGGCAAGATAACTCCTTGTTAAAGGCATGCATTCTAAATGGATTGGTTAGAAATACAAAGCGGCTTCTATAACAGAGAAAATCTTTTCTACCATTACACCATCTAGACCATCCCTGAGGGGTGTTTGTCTAACCTGCTCTTAAATGTCTCCACTGGTGCAGATTCCACAAACTCCCTAGGCAATTTATTCCAGTGTTTAACCACCCCGACAGGTAGGAAGTTTTTCCTAATGTCCAATCTAAACCTCCCTTACGGCAGTTTAAGCCCATTGCTCGTTGTCCTGTCCTCAGAGGTTAACAAGAACAATTTCCCTCCCTCCTCCTTGTATCAGACAAGATACTTGAAAGCTGCTATCATGTACACTCTCAGTCTTCTCTTTTCCAAACTAAGGTGAGGAACCATTCTCTGCCCAGGTAGTCAGAGCCAGACTACCCCTCCCTCTGGAAGGAGATAGGTGGGACAGGACATATAACAGATCCCCTAGCTCAGCTGGGTCCCAGACACAGAGGGAGAGACAGAGAGACAGTGAGAGGAGGAGGAGGAGGAGAAGAGAAAGAGAGACAGAGACAGGCAGAAAGCAGAGGAGAGCTGAGAGAGAGAGGGAGACAGGAAGAAGAGGGGAGACAAGACCGACGTTTGCTCCAAGCTGCTAATTTTGTTTCCGAGCCTAGAGATGCCCTGCTCACAGACGAGTCCGTCTGCAGGGACTGCCACTGGGCACCTATTCCAGGAGACAGAAGATACCCCTTAGATCCAGGAACATCCCAAGGGGAAGGTAGAAAGTGACACGGGGCAGGCAACTCCAGTCCACCTATGATGCTGCCTGAAACACGCTGACAACTCCACCAGTTAGGATTCTGAGCTAAGCCCCAGTTGAGTCCCCCGCCAACACCCCACTGTAGACCAGGTGGCGAGTGTCAGCTCTGGCAGAGAGTTGGGCTACTATGACAAACTACTTGTTAGTCCTGGCCTTGCCTGCAGGTCTGAACCCATAGACGGCTTGTTAACCCCTGCCTAAGCCCCAGAGCCCATGGTCTCCTTGGTGGCCCGGCGCCTGCCTAAGGGCCAGAGTATGTAGATTATTGTGGTTCTGCCCCATTAGACTGGTCTAGATGCCAACACCTGATCCACTAATTCCTCTTGACCCCGGGCAGCAATCCTGATGGTGCAGTGAGTAAGAGCGGCCTCCCTCAAGCTCTGAAGGGGAGGGTGACCACACCACCACTACAGTGAGCGCGCGTGTATTATAGAAGTGTTTAAAATACAAGTAACTTATCCACATAGCAACTGAAATGAATGTGATTGAGATGGGGGTAAACTTTACAAAAAACACTTTGGTGATTTGAAAATAGGTCTTTGGTTCTTAAGTCAACCAGCCAATTAGCCCATCATAAGATGGGATTTTCAGGTCTCTCCTACACGTTGGTCTTCTCTCCTGAGCTTCCGGTCTCTCGCTCCGTGTGTCTCTCTCCCCTTCTCCTCCTGTCTCCACCTCTTTCTCTCAGCTCTCCTCTGCCTTCTGCCTCTCTCTCTTTCTCTTCTCCCCCTCCTGCCTCTCACTCTCCCTTTCTCTTCTCCTCCCCCTCCTGCCTCTCACTCTCTCTCCGCTCTCCTCTGTCTCCGTCGGGGATGCATGCTCGTTCAGGCCCCGCCCCCCTTTGCCTCCCGCCGTGGCGCTCAGCTGACTTCTGCACCGTTCAGCCGGGCCACCGCGCGGGAACAAGCAGCACAAGTGGCTGTTTGGGGTCCGCGCTCCCTGTGCTGCATGGGGGAGCAGGGCCTGGACAAGTGTGCATCTCTCACATCAGGAAAGGGTACCAGATTCAAAAGGAGGAAAGCGGAGCTGACGCGGAGGAGACGGAGGACAGCGAGAGAGAGAGAGAGACTCAGCAGGAGGAAGAGAAGAGAAACACAGAGTGAGAGGTGGGAGGGGGAGAAGAGAAAGAGAGAGAAAAGGAGAAAAAGGCAGGAGGTGGACGAGAGCTGAGAGAGGGCGAGGCAAGAGGAGGAAAAGAGAGGCGCAGAAGTCAGCTGAGCGCCACTGCGGGAGGCAAAGGGGGGCAGGGTGGTGACGTGTAGTGAGACAGCAGCTCCAGGCCCCGCCCCTAGGACATGAACATCACTGCCCTGCCCCCCTTCGCCTCACGCCATGGCTCTCGGCTGACTTCTGCACTGCTCAGCCGGGCCG